CGGGTTGTGAGGGTCTGCTGGGAAAACCTGGCGGAAGAACCCGTCAAGATGATTTTCAACGCGCACCTCCGGCAGAGTTTCGATCGTGTCCCGAGGGCAGTGGGGGACATTGAGTCCGAATGGGCCTTGTACCGCTCTGCTATTGTTGAGGCGGTTGTTGCAAGCTGCGGCCGTGGCGGTAACCCCCGTACCCGCTGGTGGACACCAGGGGTGGGGGAAGCCGTCAGGCTGAAGAAGGAGGCCTACAGGGCGTGGTTGGCCTGTGGGTCTCAGGAATCAGCTGACTGGTACCGGCGGGCCAAGCGGAGTGCAGCCGCGGCAGTTGCTGAGGCAAAAACTCGGACGTGGGAGGAGTTCGGTGAGACAATGGAGGAAGACTATCGATCGGCTCCAAAAAGGTTCTGGCAAACCGTCCGGCGCCTCAGGGGGGGAAGGCGGCAACTCGCTTACACTGTTTACAGTGGGGGCGGGGAGCTGCTGACGTCAACTGAGGATTTAGTGGGACGGTGGAAGGAATACTTTGAGGAGCTCCTCAATCCCACCAACACGTATTCCGTGGAGGAAACAGAGCCAAGAGACCTGGGGATGGATGATCTAATCTCCGGGGCAGAAGTCGCCGAGGTAGTGAAACAACTGCGCGGTGGCAGAGCCCCGGGGGTTGATGAGATCCGCCCTGGGTATCTCAAGGCTCTGGATGTTTTAGGGCTGTCTTGGTTGACACGCCTCTGCAACATTGCGTGGACATCGGGGGCAGTGCCTCTGGAGCGGCAAACCGGGGGGGTGGTCCCCATCTTTAAGAAGGGTGACCAGAGGGTGTGTTCCAACTACCAGGGAATTACACTCCTCAGCCTCCCTGGTAAGGTCTATGCCAGGGCACTGGAAAAGAGGGTCCAGTCGATAGTTGAACCTCAGATCGAGGAGCAGCAATGTGGTTTTCGTCCTGGGCGTGGAACTGTGGACCAGCTCTTTACCCTCGCTAGGGTGCTGGAGGGAGCATGGGAGTTTGCCAATCCAGTCCACATGTGTTTTGTGGATTTGGAGAAGGCTTACGACCGTGTTCCCAGGGGCTCCCTGTGGGGGGCACTCCGGGAGTATGGGGTGGATGGCCCCTTGTTAGTGGCCATTAAATCCCTGTACCAAAGGAGTGTGAGTATGGTCCGCGTAGCCGGCAGTAAGTTGGACCTGTTCCCAGTGGGAGTTGGACTCTGCCAGGGCTGCCCTTTGTCACCGGTTCTGTTCATAACTTTTATGGACAGAATTTCTAGGCGCAGCCGGGTGGTGGAGGGGTTTGGGTTCGGTGGCGGGAGGATCTCGTCTCTGCTTTTTGCAGATGATGTGGTCCTCCTAGCTTCATCGAGCGCCGACCTTCAGCTCTCGCTTGGGCGGTTCGCGGCCGAGTGTGAAACGGCTGGGATGAAGATCAGCACCTCCAAGTCTGAGGCCATGGTTCTCAGCCGGAAACGGGTGGATTGCCTGCTCCGGGTCAGGGGGGAGGCTCTGCCTCGGGTGGAGGAGTTTAAGTATCTCGGGATCTTGTTCACGAGTGAGGGTGGGATGGAGCGGGAGATTGACAGGCGGATTGGGGCGGCGTCAGCAGTGATGCGGGCGCTGAATCGGTCCATTGTGGGGAAGAGGGAGCTAAGCCGGAAGGCGAAGCTCTCGATTTTCCGGTCGATCTACGTTCCAATCCTCACCTATGGTCATGAGCTTTGGGTAATGACCGAAAGAACGAGATCGCGAATACAAGCGGCCGAAATGAGTTTCCTCCGCAGGGTGGCCGGGCTCAGCCTTAGAGATAGGGTGAGGAGCTCGGTCATCCGGGAGGGACTCGGAGTAGAGCCGCTGCTCCTCCATGTCGAGAGGAGCCAGTTGAGGTGGTTCGGGCATCTGGTGAGGATGCCTCCTGGACGCCTCCCTGGGGAGGTGTTTCGGGCATGTCCCACCGGGAGGAGGCCTCGGGGCCGACCAAGGACACGCTGGAGGGATTATATCTCTCGGCTGGCCTTGGAACGCCTCGGGATTCTCCCGGAGGAACTGGTGGAAGTGGCTGAGGAGAGGGCCGTCTGGACCTCTTTGCTGAGGCTGCTGCCCCCGCGACCCGGATCCGGATAAGCGGGAGACGATGAGACGAGATGGTCCATCTGTTCCTTTAATCAGTCAGTTATCACAGTAGAATTAATTCATTGTAACACGAGGCTCTGTCTGTTATTTAATATTAATATATAAAGTGAACTTTGAAAATGTCCTCTCCACAGCACTGCCTGGTGTTTTCAGATCTGTTTAAATTCAGTGTGAGCAGACAGGGGTCAGCTTGGTCCATAAATCAATAACAACAACGATGACGACATGGTTTGTTTCAGTGTTTATGATCCACGAGAACAAAGAGAAAATTCATAGGAACGTAGAGAAAACACAGAATAGATAAATAACAAGAAATGGAAAGAAAAAGAACAGAAATCATCAACTCAGGAAAATAAATCAGCTGATAGAAAAAACAAAACATTTAAATGAACGTGGTTCTGACAGAACTATAACTGCTCTGTTTCTTTAGGACAGTGATAAACACTGATACTGATCATTTCTTTAAACCTGAACTGATTCATTTAACAATTAATGACATCATTTAGTTTCATAAATGGGATTTTAAGACTTAAATAGATAAAACAATGAGCTTTCTAATATACTGAGACATTTTAATGGATTATCTGCAGTTTTACGATTTTTAAGAGGTAAAATAAAAACACATTAAACTGAAGTACTCTGCTCTTTTACTTTATAAAAGTATCAACACCTCAGTGTAGAAATACTGTGTGAAAAGTAAAAGTAACATCAAAAATATACATCAAGTACAAAAAGTGAAAGTAGTGACTATGTAGAATGACCCATTTAAGAATAAAGCATTGTATTATATATAATCATTGATGCAATAATGTGTTTATCACAGTTTTGTTTTGTTTGTTATATTTTGTATTTATTATTAATCTAGAAAAAGCATAATTGTACTTGAATATTCGATATGAAGTTAGTTAAATTCCAATATCAATAAAATAAGAGTAATCCATTAATGAAGATGCAAATGTGCCTTAATTGTTCAATTTAGGTGAAAAACAGAGATAATCCATTAAAAAAAGACTATCAGTAATTTTATTTTGAAATTTTAAGCTTCTCTTTGTTTTCCACTACTTTAATTCATTAATTTATTTGGAAAGGAAAAAGAAGAAAACATTATGTTGTGTGAAACATATTCACTATTGAGATGTCACAGAAAACAAACAGTAATCTGTCAGAATCAAAGAGACACTTCTTATTAAATGAAGTTAATTAAGTAAAAAAAGAAAACAACAAGAGAAACAATCACAAACAGAAAACCTCAAAACAAAACGGCACCAAAAACAGCTCTTTAAGGCGAAGTTACAAAATCAGCTTCACAGATTTTTAGAAAAGAAAACTTTGAAGAGGTTTCGCAATTTATAAAATATGAGAATTTCACCATGAGACGGAGGAAAAGGTTTGAAAAAGAACTGAACATGTGACTTTTTAATGGCACCTGGAGTTCAGTTCATTCATCAGTGAGTGACGGCGGCTGCGGAGTGGTTCAGGTGGATGACATCACGGCGTAGAGAGCTACTCCGCCATTAGAACTGAAGCGATTAGTTGATTCATTCATAAGTCAATCAACTATTGTGATAATAACAATATTTAATGCGGTCATTATTTGGGAGAAATCAACAAAGTGACAAACTGATGGTGCATGAAACAAAAACCCACTTGGCTAATCTGACAAATTAAAATGGGATTAACATGGTGATGAAAAATGTATATAAAAGTCTAATATATTACTATAAATCAAACCTGTAAAAGACACATGTAGTTTGTGTCACGTGTATTTGGTCACATCACCTGCTCAGTGTCAGATAGAGAAGAAACTTTTCTCAGTGTAGAAACACGAAGTAAAATAAATGGGCGGGGTCTGACACTGTGGGCCCGCCCCTCTCAGGCTAAACTGATGCTACGTCCACACGACTACGTTTTCATGTTAAAATGACGTTTTCGAACCAAAACTATCTCCGTCCAGACTAACACACACATACCTGAGCAATCACCTGCACTGAGCATGTGCGAGCCGGTGTAAACAGGAAGTAGATAGTCTGCAGTAAAGCCTCTGAAGGAGGAACAGCAAAGACAGCTGTAGCATTAAAACAGAGAATGTAAGTGAACAACAGCTGCAAAGACAACAAGGTCAGTGACACAGTCAGTCATCATCATGTTGTATTCACCACTGGTAGTCCAGGCTGATGAGAGCCAATCAGGAGAGACCGTGGGTGTGACCTCATCGTTTACAAAGGTCTCAGTTTCTGTCCAGACTACAACACAACCCCAGAGTTTTCAAACTAAAACGCAACCCCAGAGTTTTCAAAATAAAACACAACCTCAATGTTTTTTAAAAAAAAAAACGCATCCAGCAGCGTTTCCAAAAGTCAAAAAAATGCGGAGTGGTGTGGACGGGAGGAGGAAACGTAGCAAAAGAGATTTTGAAAGAGTGTGGACGTAGCCTGAGACAGCTGCTCCCATCACGCTCTCAAGCAGAGTATAATGTGGGGCGTCGTGTGGCGTGTGTAGAGGCCACAGTCGGCCCCGGTTTGAGTCCCAAATCAGACGGCCTTTGCTGCATGTCATTCCCCCTCTCTCTGCCTCCCCATTTCCTCTTTCTACTGTACTATCAAATACAGGCAGAAAAAAAATACTAAAAAAAAAAAAAAAAAGCCTAGTATAATGTGAGCTACAAGCTGAGCCTCGTGATTTTAAGCCAATATTTGCCCATTAAAAGAAGCCGAATCGTCTGTCAGCAGTGAACCAGACAACTGTCACCGCGTCACTGACGGAAACTGAAACACACGAGGTTTCTGAACGTCCTGCAGTTCGAAGCATCGTCTGTTCTCTGTGATTTCTGGACATTTGTTCCACGTGGACACTGGATCAGTGACCTGTCACCTGTCCCTTTCACCTCACCTGTGTCCCCTGATTAGCTGATCAATGATTGGTTAATTGCTTGAACTCATCTGTCACATATGTAATCTACCTGCAGCTTCTCCGGTGTCTCAGAGTTTCTTTGGGTTTGTTGAACAACACGAGTCGTCTCTCTGACCTCCGAGTCTCTGTCTTATAATCATTTACTATTAATCAAACGATCAATAGATTCAATGGAGCAGATTTGAACAGATTTCTAATTTAAAGATAATGTAAAATGCAGATCATTAACCCCCCCCCTCTAACTCTCCATAGGGAGGAGGTGCATGTGGTGGCTGACGGCCTGCTCCATGGAGCTCTTGAAGGCCTGGTAGGAGGAGGTGACGGGCAGGAGGAGGTGTTTGGAGCTGGGCTCGCGCTGAGGGAAGAGCCCCTCATCGCCTGCCTCCTCTGTTCCTGGTGGGGAGGAGCTGAGGGGGTGGAGGAAGGAGATGGAGGGCGTAGGGAGGAGGCCGGCTGTGGGAAGCACCTCAGCTCCTGTGGCAAAGAGGAGGAGGTCCTGCAGGGAGATGGAGCTCCTCCCAACTGAGGAGGGGAGAGGAGAGGAGAAGATGAAACAGGAGAGGACAGAGGAGGAAACAAATACAAATCAGTAACCTTGATTCACAGCTGAGTGTAAAGCTTCGTCTTGTGGGAGTTTGGCGCTCACAGCCTCCGTACCTTCACACTCCAGCAGGAAGTGTCTCCAGAAGGTGACGACGGGCGTCTCCCTGTTCAGTCTGTCCTCCTGCTGAGAGAAGTGGACGGTGAAGAGCTGAGCAAGCGTCTGAGCCGTGAGGTGGTCGTCCGCTTCACAGAAAACGCCGCAGAACGCCGACGGGAAGAGCTGCACCTGGATCAGATCACAGCGCCTCAGGCAAGGCTCAACACACCTTCATCAAGCAGCGTGTGTGTGTGTGTGTGTGTGTGTGTGTGTGTGTGTGTGTGTGTGTGTCATACAGCCAGAGAAGAACACGTGAATCACCTGATCAAAGACACCTAACGTCTGCAAACCTTCCCGAAACCTGGAGGACGAAGCAACATCATGAGAGACAATAAACACAAAGACCGTTTTCCAGAGATGATCCAGCTCATACGACACGATTGTAAAATTTCCAATTTAAATAAAGGAGGAAAAAAAAAGAAAGAAATTTTGACAAATTGATCGCAAGAAGACAACAAAATTTATCATTATCAACATTATTAATTTATAACCTGATTCATTTTATTAACCGTTGCTGCCTGAACACAAGTTCAAGTTTATTGTATTTAGGGTGAGGGTAACTCAGCAATAAACCAATATAATATAAATTAAAAATGATAGAATTAAAAAACAACAACAAACAAAACACAAATAACACGAACGTTAGCCGACAGTTTTCCCTCCTGAGAAATCTAGACTGAACTTTAGCTAAACGTTGATTCAAAACTGAATTAGCGCGAATTATTTACTGCTGCTCTCGCTCATCAGTTCATCTCACTTCAGCCTCTTTACTAGCAACAGGAAGTGACGTCTTTAACAAAGTTAACCACACCCACTGTGAGCTCCCGCTACAACGGTTTAATGTGTCATGTCATGTTATGGTCTGTTTTACCTGAATGCAGCATTGGGTTTGAAGCGACGCTAACAAAGATGCTAGCAAAGTAAAAACAGCCATTAGCAAGTATTTAGCCGTGTTTGGCTAACATACAGTTGTGCTCCCATTCATCGAGTTGACCACGTCTTCACATTTATTATCATCAACTCTCAGTAATGAACAAACACACATTTGAATCCTGAATCACAAACCTTAAACCTTTAGCTACAGGCTAAACAAGCTAGCAAAAAACAGAAGCTAACATGCTAACCCAATATTCAACAGTTTAAAACAAGTTTGTCTGTAAACCTACTATAGACTAGCACTGTTAGCAGCAACAGTGACTCACAGGATAATGTAACTTACCTTGAAATGAAAACTGGGAACATTTCAGTCAATATGTCTTTAAAATATTCAATGTTTTTATCTATGAAATAAAAAAAGGATTCACGAGGAAACAGTGAACCGCCCCCCCGTCTCTACCTCTGCAGTGGCAGCTGCATCCTGGTGATCATGGTGAAGCAGACCAGATCCTCCACCAAAGCCTCTCTGTCCTTCAGGCTGCTGATTGGTCGGTTGCAGCCGGCCAGCTCCAGGTACTCCCAGCTTGAAGCCGTGGCCTCTTTCAGTTCGTCTAAAGACTCCGCCTCCGCAATCTGAAAGCAGCCAATCATCGACAAGATGCCTTTAATTAACGCTGGTGTTTAACTGGCGGCAAGAGCTAAAAGCGTGTTCAGTCCCCTCACCCTGCTGACTTGGCGTGTGAAGTGCGTGTCGGGGGTCATGTGTGTGACGGCGAGCGGGCGGTTGGGCGGGAAGTTGAAGAGGCACTGGTAGAGAGCGCGGGAGAAGAAGCCGACAGGTGGAACGCCGTGAACCAGAGAGAGAGCCAGCAGGCAGCCGACGTCGAAGTACAGGTCCTCACGCAGAGCTGAACACACACACACACACACACACACACACACACACACACACACACACAAGTAGTGTTTATAAGCCAAGGTTTTTTGTAACACACCTCACACACACACAGCTCATTCACACTTAAAAGGGTCAAGTCGTAAGTTCTGCTATTGCTATATAGCTAACGTTAGCATTAACAGCCGTTTACTTCGCAGTCTCGAATAAATGCTCCAAGTTCAGCATCAGACTTCATTCCTTCACCCAGAGCTGTGTCCTGAAAGCCCTCTTGTTTTGCTTATATTTCTAATTAGCGCGCTAACTGGCTAGCTCCCGGCGTCCAGTCTGTCCTGAGGAAGCAGCTGCTCAGAGGACGAGTTATAACCTCTTGTCTTGTAAATGTACAACCCTAACTCTAGAAATCCACAGGTCAGTGTCTCATACATGTATTATTTCAAACTAAAAGTGCACATTTTAAAGTTTATTGTGACCAGCCCAGAACACACCTGTTTGATCAACATCTGGGTAAGGTAAAGGAGAAGTTCTCACTGACACAGATTTAAACACATTAAAGATAAAGTATAAAATAAAACATATAAAGAGTTTAAATCCTTCCCCCTGTGTTAACGTCTGGTTTCAGTCCATAAATATATTTACCACAGCCAATCAGAAATCAGAGACTGACATGGTTGTGGCATCAATAGAGAAAAAAACAATAGAGAAAAAGAAGAATATTGTTCCCAGGAAAATGTGATTTGTACCTTGGGAATCCAGCGCCAGATTTTTGGATCCATGTGGACCCTCGAACACCACAGAGTCCTGGATCTGCTGCACCAGCAGCTTCAGGAAGTACTGCCTGGCTGTTTCACTGCTGGGAAATGCAGTCTGCTTCTCGTCTCTGAACCTGGACCAAGACGCAGCGGAGGTCGATGTGTCAATCACAGACGAAAAACCAAAATACAGAAGGCTGAGGTGAGTTCATCGTCCACTGACCTGATGGACAGAGCGTGTGTGGGGTCGAAGTCCGGCCTCCTGACCAGATCCAGACCGGCAGACAGAGCCTCACACCCACGCACCTCCACCTGGACACTGAGGGGACCAGGCTGAGGGGCCAGAGCCTGCAGCAGCTCCTCAGGTGAGCCAGATCTGACAGGTAACGACGGTCTGACGGAGAGAGAGAGAGAGAGAGAGAGAGAGAGAGAGAGAGAGAGAGAGAGAGAGAGAGAGAGAGAGGTTTCATGTAACTGCAGAGGAAATCTACGTGTTGTAACCTGTTAACACGTCCTGCACATTTTATATTCACCAGATCAAGCTACACTGTCTTCACACACAAATACACAGGATCAAAATATTAGAAAAAAGTATGTCTTAGGGAGCAGCGCCCCCTGGTGGCCTCACCTGTAGCTACCTCACTGGAAAAGAATAAACAAGGCAGCATTTCATCCAGGTGGAGAACTTTTATTTTGGAAATATTTAGAGTCAGGAGCGTTGGATTTGTGTACCTTTTACAGCTGATGGAGGAGTGGATGGGGGACAGGTGGTGTTTGGACAGCCGACTCCTTCTCTGACCTCCCTGAGGAGACGCGACGAGGGAGGCTGGACGAGACAAAAGCAGGTGGTTCAGCAGCCAGCTCCGGCGTACACAGCCCAATGAATAAATGAATATTCGTAAAATCAGAGGATAGATGTCACGAAGCCGGAAACACAATCGATCATAAGACAAATAATCACTGAGACCTTTCCCATCTGTGGCCTGAGTGCAGTCGCTGCACGCCCAGTCTCTGGTGTCCAGCTTCAGCCCCGAACATTTCCTGTGAGTCCCTCTGGATCCACAGAGTCGGCAGCGAATCACCTCGAACCACCTGAAGCGAACGGAGGGACACACACTGTGAAGAGCCTCTCTGCTCGATGTCTCTGGTTACATCAGACTGATCTTTGTTTGTGTCAGTCTGATGAAGGTATTTCATTTATAAACTAGATTCACCTCCTCCTGGTTGTTTCCCTGCGCCACTCAGACTAGTTTCATGTCACATCGCTTTTTATCCAGAGTCCAAATATGAATATGAGATAAAATATGAACCAACCGTGTGACATTTTCTCATAATTTCTGTGTGCTAAAAAAAACTTTGACCTTTAACCTTCAGACACCAAAATCTAATCAGATCATCCTTGAGTCCTAGTGAATGTTTGTACCAAATGTAAAGACGTTCCTTCAAGGCGTTACTGAGATATCGCGTCCACGAGAATGGGACGGTCAACCTGAAAACAAAAATGGCTGCTACTCTGACCGTCATTGGGGCGGAGCCATAAAAACTCCCCTTCCTGTCTGGTTCTGGTGTGTTGGTGTGAATGGACTGAGACAGAGGGTGTACCCGGTCTTTGCTGAGTGCATGGGTCCGTCGTTACAGAGGCAGGCGAGAGCGTCACAGCGCTTGTAAACCTCCAGCAGTTCCGAGTACGCGTTTGCCTCCAACTCCCATGAGGCATCTCTGCGGGAAGCACAGACAGAGCATGCAGTGAATTGTTCTGCTTGGCGTCCAGCTCGTTTCTACCCGTGTGTGTGTTCATGACCACGCCACGCCACGCCACGCCACGTTACCTCTCTGGGATGTAGATTCCCAGCCGCAGCATCTCCTCCTGGAAGCTGTCCTTGTTGTTGCAGAGAGTGCACCTGAAGAAGAAGAGGCCGGCGCTGTGGGCCTGACGCTGACGGCACAGACACACAGGTAAAGACACACAGGTAAAGACACACATTCTGGTTCACAATGACTGAATCTGTCATCTTGCGATAACAGGATAAATAATATTTGCGAGTTTGGCCTTTCTCAGCTTCCATACTGATCCGATACCACTGCATTAAAACTGTTATTTTATCAGCTGTAAACCACTGACCCTGTACGTATGACGTCACTCGGGTTAAACATGGACGCCATAAACTCTTTTATCATCTAATTTAACTGTCAGACATAAATAAATAAATAAATAACACTTCCTGCACCAGTCGTCCTGACACTCCTCCACATTAAGCTGCTAAACTCTGGAGAGGAGCCACAACTTTGGTTCCTCCTCCTCCTGAAAACCTGCAAAACCAAACCGAGAGTGTCTGCACGGACGCCGCACATGACATAAAAACCCTCCCACTACCTGCACACAGTCCCTGTGGAACCAGCTGGCGTGGCAGCACGGACACTTGAGGACAGAGTAGGACAGGACGGGGTCGATGGAGTCCAGACAGACGGAGCAGGACTGAGGCAGACTGAGGTCAGAGCCCACACACAGGGTCTGAGTGGGACTGTGGTCTGGACAGTAGGACCTGGACACAAAGACACAGACAGAGACGGTTCTTCCTGTTTTATATCTGTGCTTGTTGTGTTGCTTTAATGATGCTGAAGCTTCAACTGGAAACATGAAAAATGCTGTTTACATGGGGTCTTTGAACACATCGCTCCATTGCCTCATGTTACACCACAAACAAGAGTCGAGAGTCCATCTTTACACTTCGGCCTATCACAGTCCCTCCCTGTCCTCTCTCCCTGTCCTCTCTCCTTGTCCTCCCCCTGTCCTTTCCTTGTCCTCTCCCTGTCCTCTTCTTGTCCTCTCTCCTTGTCCTCTCCTTGTCCTCTCTCCTTGTCCTCCCCCTGTCCTTTCCTTGTCCTCTCTCCTTGTCCTCTTTCTGTCCTCTCCCTGTCCTCTCCTTGTCCTCTCCCTGTCCTCTCTCCTTGTCCTCTCTCCTTGTCCTCCCCCTGTCCTTTCCTTGTCCTCTCTCCTTGTCCTCTTTCTGTCCTCTCCCTGTCCTCTTCTTGTCCTCTCTCCTTGTCCTCTCCTTGTCCTCTCTCCTTGTCCTCTTTCTGTCCTCTCCCTGTCCTCTCCTTGTCCTCTCCCTGTCCTCTCCTTGTCCTCTCTCCCTGTCCTCTTTCTGTCCTCTCCCTGTCCTCTTCTTGTCCTTCAGATTCAGACAGTGACTCTAAAGCTTTTGAACCTCATGTTTGAGCGGTGTAGATGTGTTTTATGTAGGAATATAGTTGTTAGAGTGGGTTACTGTGCAGGTAACGACAGTGTTCAGTGGCAAGTTTAAAGATTTGTTACATCAGAAAGAGTTAAAGATAAAAAAAAATTAATTTAAAGATGGATAAATGAAATTAGACAAATATTTGTGAGCCGATGAATTCAAATTATGTAATGACTTTTAAGGCCTAATATTCATTTACAACATTTCAAGACTTTTCAAGACCTTAAAAGATTTTAAGGTGTTTTAACATTTGAAGACACCCTGAAAAAGTGATCGTACATTAGTGTCACAGTTAGTGACGGTTACTGCTGAGAGGGAAGATAATCCACTGTGTTTATTTTACCATCTTTACAACACAGCTAAAGAGAAACACCTAACACCTGAATAAAGGTGTGTGTGTGTGTGTGTGTGTGTGTGTGTGTGTGTGTGTGTGTGTGTGTGTGTGTGTGGTGGACACTCACGGGAAGAGGCCGGTGAACTGAGAGATGAAGCTCTGTTTCCTCCCACAGGGGAAGTGAACCGTCTTCCTGCAGCTCCTGACGTTACAGCCGACACACGCCCCCTTCTTCTTACAGCTGCAGCACGTCTGAAACACACCGTTACACACAATTACACACAGTAACACACAGTTACACACAATTACACACAGTAACACACAATTACACACAGTAACACACAGTTACACACAGTAACACACCGTTACACAGTTACACACAGTAACACACACGTTAACAGTAACACACCGTTACACACAGTAACACACAGTAACACACACTGTTACACACACAGTAACACACAGTAACACACACTGTTACACACAGTAACACACAGTAACACACCATTACACACAGTAACACACAGTTACACACAGTAACACACACTGTTACACACAGTAACATACCGTTACACACAGTTACACACAGTTACACACAGTAACACACACGTTAACAGTAACACACCGTTACACACAGTAACACACAGTAACACACACTGTTACACACACAGTAACACACAGTAACACACACCGTTACACACAGTAACACACAGTAACACACCATTACACACAGTAACACACAGTTACACACAGTAATACACAGTTACACACAGTAACACACAGTAACACACAGTAACACACAGTAACACACAGTAACACACCATTACACACAGTAACACACAGTAACACACACTGTTACACACAGTAACATACCGTTACACACAGTTACACACAGTTACACACAGTTACACACAGATTTTGTTCCATAGTTTTTTTTTTAATAAAATGAAATAAAATAAAATCTCGTCTCACCAGTCGAGCCGACCGGCGGATCTCCTGTTTGATGTCGTCCACCAGGAAACCGAACACCCCCTCGTCCTCCTCCCCCCGCTGGTAAACTCCACAGGACGTCAGCTGTAACACGACACACACACACGATCATTCACACACAATCACGTGTGTGCTCTTCAAAATAAAACAAAACGTTACATGAATAGAATCTAATTCAAACCAAAGATTTTTATTATAAACCGCTGCATTATTTTTTAAACACATTTTTTAATCATTGTTACCCTTTTAATATCCCATTTATTGCATTTTAACGACCTTATGAACTTTAATCATCATGAATTTATAAATGAATGAATTTACAACATATGAAACGTAAAAATAAATATGAAACCTCTCAGACAGTGACAGAGTGTGTAGACTGGTTCCAAACCAGCACTGATACTCATGGACGACATAAATATAAACACACCTGCTAACCATCTTCATCATTATCATCATCATCATCATCATCAGCAGCTGCTAAACGACCAAAACTGAGTCACTGATCGAAGCCGAGTGATCGATGAACTGATAAATCAGCACAGAACAAAACCTCCTGGACTCTCAGCAGCTGAATCATCAATGATCCAGGCTGATGGATGTGTTGAAGGAATGTGTGTATGTACGTGTGTACACACACACACACACACACACACACACACACTTACCAAACAGAAGTAGTGGACGGAGAGTTTGTGCTCCTTAAGTGTGACCTTTTCCCCAAACATGGCCGGATCATCATCACTAAACCTGCACAGGACACAACCTACACACACACACACACACACACACACACACACACACACACACACACACACACACACACACATCAACACAGAACTTTGTACTGCTGGTCATTCTGTTACTTATGGATGGACTGATGGTGACCCTGAGGAACTGTGGAGCTTCAGGCCGCTCAAACGTTTACTACAGTGATAATATAAACGTGTGGATGACTCACAATCCTCCCCGATGCTGCCGGTGTCTGAGACCTGCGACCTTCTCACCTTCTTCTTCATGTTTCTGTGACGAGACCCTGCAGAGACACAACACTGGGGTCAGGGGTCAAACCTACTGAGTCACAAAAACAGATGAAGTTGTTTGTCGTCACGTCTCCCGGCTTCAGTTTGACAAACACCACAAAATATGTCAGGCTGAATTGTGGGAAATGTGAAGAAAACGACGCACATGACATCTAGAATATTTCTGTTTGTTGTGACGCTGCAGCCACAAAAACACGGTGAAGTGGGTTAGAATAAGTTGTTGTGTAGAAATCATTTCACAGCGTCTTGTCTTGACTTCCAGAGTTCCCCTTTGCTGCCATCTCTTCATGTCAGTGGAAATTTCGAGCTGGAGGCCCTTTGTTCTCTTGTTATGGCCTCTTTCTGCTTCGTAGCATCAGTTAGCTTCATGTTCATAATGTTCAGCTCATGGTTGTTGAACGTTAGCACAAGGTTTGAAGAGTCAGAGACTTTTATCACCAGCTGATCAATCCTCACCCGCTTTATGAGTCCTGACGAGTCAAGGCCAAACTTCACAAGAAGAAAGGTCCAAACTTTTGAACATGTCGTAATTACTGTTTAATTTGTTTCTATTTTGAAGTTAATGAAATCAGTAACATTTGAAGAAGAGCTCAGTTTAATGTGTGTGTGTTCTCACTTCAAAAATAAACTAGACAGGAGTTCGTCCAGGGCTGTCCAAACTTCTCCAGGAGGACTGAACGATATGCAAAAAGTCATATTGCAATTATTTTTGCAGATATTTCGATTACGATTTCAGTTGCAATGATCATTTATTTCATTTTATTTTCACAGAAAAAAAATATAAAAATGATGTGATTTTTTTGATAGGGCATGTACCAAATAAAATTCACAAAATCATCTAACCCTTTACATCTGGAAAATATAACAATATAATTTGTTTAACTTATCAAAAGAATACAAACAAATTGCAGCTGCTGGGATTTGGATATTGCACTTGGTCATATCGCAATTTCGATAATATTTCCATTAATTGTTCAGCCCTATTCTGTAATAAAACTGTACATTATAAACAACATAATTCTGTACATCATACTCATATTTTATCACGTTAAAAGTAGCTTACATGTATGTGACTCTGTCATCGATTGCAGAGATTTTTTAAATTTAAAGAAACATATAAAAGCTTCATTTACAGAGTGAAAATTAAGATAGGTTATTAATCTAAATGCTTCTTGTTAACAAACAGAAGCTTCCTGAAATTTAACGTCAGGGTTTCAGAGGCTAAAATTACAATGAAACACTTCGCTGAACAACACGGAGGGAGCAGAGGTGTCAGCACCGACACTTTACCACAAGAACAGGAGCGTGTTAAATGAATGAGCTGGTTATAAGCTGGTGAAATAACAAAACGTGTGACATTAAAGTGACAAATATGAAATTACACGGCGGAGACTCTCTGAAGTTC